GAAGGTCTGTGAACTGGCCCTTTGTTTTGGAAGTTTGAGCAGCCTTGCACTAAACCAAAACAACCAGCCTATTTCAGCACTTGCTTTTTACAAACTGTATATAAATTTATTTTTACATGTTGTATAGTAACTTTCTGTTACTAGTGAAAAGTTTTATTGCATTATAATTTTAAGACTTCAACATACATTATGCTATAGGATCCAAGAGACAGTTCACCTAAGTTTTATACCAACACGTTTATATTTGTTTATCTTATTGATCATTTAATATCCTATTCATATTAAATTGTGGTAAATGTCAATGATGGCAATATAATGACAGCCCTCGATGTGTTTGTGCATGGCATAATTACAAAGGGTGGATGAGGAAGGGCGTTTCAGAGCAGGTAAGATAGAATTAGACATCACTGAAAAACAAGAATGATATGACTGTGGGTGGAGTAAGATTGTAAAATGTTTCCTTTTCATATACTTTCTAAACTAAATATATGAATATATCCAACTTTTCATAAGTGATAAAGGGTCAGCTCTTGTTTTTCAATTTGAATTTTCGAGGGAGTTTTTATGGTATTGAAAACATTCAGATTTTTCTTTTCTTAAAGTAGAATTAAAAACTCTCTTTTTTGGCATATAGCAATCAGTAGATATATGCTCCATGATTTAAAAAGAATTTAAAAGTAGGCAAGTTCCTAATTACATACCTGTTCCAGCGTCACTCGCTCCCGTCTGAAGAACTCCCGGCTCCTGAACAGACATGAAGGAGGAAGTAAGCGGGCGCTTACGCAGTGGGACACGAGGAGTCTGCGGTGGATCAGATACCGGCACAAGTGCTGGAAGTGCTGTCAGAAATGAGTGGAAGGAAAGAGATGATTGCATCAAGAGTCATCAAATAAGGTAAGTGCTTACAGCAGCATTATTGGGGGTGGGTAGCCTTTAATGTCACTTTAAAGTATGTAACTCCTAATTAATTGACATTTAGTTTGCTATAGCACTGTGTATCATAAACAATGTAATTTTTTTTTTATTAAATACTGTTTTCACCTAATTTTTTTTGTATCCATTGTTGCATCTCAGTACTGCTGATCTCCTGCAGCCTCTTTTGCAGCCACTTCCTGTCTTCCTGTATTCACTCTGTTCTCTAACAAGTGCCTGGAGTAAATACATACAGAATATTTCTTGATGGTGACAGCAGTGAACAATACCTTGGTTGAACTCGATGGACTTGTGTCTTTTTTCAACCTGACTAACTATGTAACTATGCAATGTGCACCGACACGGCCACTTGTATTGGTAGAGCATGTGACAGGGTGGCAATGCAGGAGAACAACTAGGAAACAGTTTCAATAAATTCCCCTCAACATATTGCTGGTTATTAGTCCTTAGATGTGATGCATTCATTTTCTCTTTTCTTTAGGCTTAAAACATTTTCAGCTAGTACAGAAAATACGAGGGATGCCCCCGAAATTTCAGCCACTGAAACATATCGGCCGAAAATGGTACTTTGGGCAAAATGTCAAAAGTACAATTTTTCAGCCGGAATTGCAGTGCTGTCAGGATCCAGAGCACCTCCAGGTGGCGCTGGAACCAGGTCCTGCAGTTCCTGTGCTCACCTACAGGTGTCTCCAGGCAGCCAGGTACTGTCAGGTACCAGACCACCATTGGGTGGTGCTGGAACCTGCGACTCCAGTGCTAACCTGCGGGTGTCTCCCAGCTGCCAGTGATTATCCACCACCTGGTGCTTTCTGGGAGGGTATTTAATCCCTCCCTGCAGTCAGGACTGTGGCTCAGTATCCTGTCGCCTTTCCCTGACTGAGTCCTGTGTCCTGAGCCCTGTTACCTGCTTGCAGTCCTGAGTCCTGTTACCTGCTTGCAGTCCTGAGTCCTGTTACCTGCTTGCAGTCCTGAGTCCTGTTACCTGCTTGCAGTCCTGAGTCCTGTGACCTGCTTGCAGTACTGAGTCCTGTTACCTGCTTGCTGTCCTGTGTCCTGTTACCTGCCTTGTATACCCTGGGTGTGTATTCAGCTATTTGCTCCTGGTTTGGATACTTTATGTTAACTTTTGTATGTGTTTGTGGTTATATTTAGTTGGTTACTTTACTTACTTGTGCTTGCTTGTGAGTGTTGGTGGGGTTGCAGTGTTTTGTTTTGCTGTTTACATTAAATTGCATACAACTCAATGACCTTGTCTAGTGTGGTCATACTAATTTGGTCCTCCTGCGTGGGTACCTGCATGCGGTGTGGGGACACCCGCGCACGGTACCCTGACAAGTGCATCCATAGTTTATCTCCTGCTCGCTTGCACTGCTGTGTGTCCCCTCTGACACAGAGCAGCATCCAGCGGGGAGGAGAGAAACCTTCAGGAGACCGAGCAAGGTGGTTCAGGGGAGGAGTCAGCTGTCAGTCGTGTCACAGGAAGCTGAGCTCTCCTCCCCCGCACCGCTCGCTCAACCTCTTGTGACAGCCGAAGGAGTGAGGATGGAGAGCGATTAAAAGAACTCAATGATCAGCTGCTCGTTGATTGTTTGTAAATAATTGAAGACGTAGTATGTATACTGTGTCCCAAATTTTGAATAAACAGGAAGTGCTCTACATCACTTCCTGCTCCTTTATGATTATGAACATAGTAACTCATACTATATCCACAGTTTATGAATAGACAGAAGTACTCAATATATCTGTTCATTTATAACAGGGGCTGCAGAAAAAGAGACTTAAACTCTGTGTCCTCAATGTCTTTTTCTATTTCAAAAGGGAAATATCAGGGATCTGTTTAGACCCCTGATATTTCCCCCGGAGCCCCCAACAGTAAAAATAAATAAAATCTTTTAAAACATTTTTAACCACTTCCAGGCCAGCCGTTGTAAAAACGGCTGGCCGGGAGCTTCCTGGATGTAACTGGCCGTGTAAATACAGCTTGTTTGCCCCGCCCACCTGTTGCTCGCCGTGCGGCGTGCGAGCGGGAAATACACCAAATTTAAAAACAGGCAGCGATGCCCGTTAATATACAAGCGATCCGCCAGCTATAGAGCTGCCGGCCCGTGTCCCCCCCCTCCCTCCTTTGCCCCCCCTCCCGATGTCACGCTGGTCCCGGGCTCCGCTGTGCCCCCTCCCACTGTAAAGTGGCTATGGTCAATTTTGGGTATGGTATTTTTTGCGATTTCGCGGGTGCGCGCAATTTTAAAGCTTGACATGTTTGGTGTCTATTTACACGACGTGACCCCGTCTTTTATATTTTACCAAAAAATTGGGTAATAATAATTGTTTCCTAACATAATGTTAAAAAAAAACGTTTTTCTTTTCAAAATTTTCAGTAATTTTTCATAAACATAGTAAAAAATAAAACCCGCAGTGGTGATTAAATACCACCAAAAGAAAGCCCTATCTGTCCCCATAAAATGGAATAAAATTCATTTCAGTACAGCATTGCATGATGGAATAAATGTTAGTCAAAGTACTGCAGCTCTGAATACTGAAAAATGGCTTGGACAGGAAGGGGGTCTAAACACCTGGTCAGCAAGTGGTTAAAATAGGTTAGAGAAAAAATAATTTGGGGTTTAGGCCTGACAAAAAAATGTTTTTGGTTTTGGTCTGAAAATTCTATTTCACTGCACCTCTAGATAATACTCCCCAGTCTTACCAGAAATGCAGTGTCCTTCTGAGCTGAAAAGGCAGCAAAACAATTTTATCGTTTTCTTCTGTAAATAGTAATAGTTTCCCCACTGCCCATGTAATGGAGATGAATAAAGACATGTTTGAAGTACAGCCCAGGAGGCAGTCATGGCTCGCTCAATACATACAGTGCAAAAGTCAGTGTAGGCACCCAGGGACAGGTAGTGTGCTATATACAGAATTACCAGGTGAAAATAAAGAGAAAGAAGAATGAAAAAGGAAAACGAATGCAGCCACCACATCTAATGACCGGTAGGCTGCAAATTATTAAATTTGGGGTTAGTTACGTTTTAAATCTTTTCAATACGAATTCTTGGCGTTTAGAGGAATACCTAACACATTTAACATACTTGTTTATTAATTGTATCAACTTTATTAGTGTTAGAGTGATTAGTTAGAGTGGAACTAAACTCTCTGTTGGTCCCCAGTACAATTCACATGATATATATTGTGCATACTTTCACATTGTGGCAGACTTACCCCCCGGTTTGGCCTCCTACAATGATGAGTTTATACCATATAAAAGTGCCTTGCCAGAATGTTTCAGGAGAAAGTATTTGTTGGCATCAGAAGTTACCATAGTTCCCATTGTAATGTCTCCTGTTCCAAGAAATTACCACACATTGGGGATTTTCTGCTTCTATTTACAGAAGAAAACGAAAACGTTTGTCAGGTGCACCTGTCACACTTTGCCCGTCCTTGCTGGTCAGTTGGTCGATTCATTCCTGTGTATTGTTCAACACTTTATAAATAATCTCACATATATTTCTGGCTGGTTTCCCGGCAGACATAAATTTATCAGTTCATATTCCAGTAAACTCATCTAGTACTCTTATAGTCAAGAGACAAACACTACTTTTCGTGTACCAGCTACTGGGACTGGGATATTCTTCAAGCTTGTGCTTAATGCCAGAACGGATAAAGGTACATGGAGTTTGATTTTTGCTACGCCTTTGTCGGGTTTGGTCATTACATTAATGAAACCATCAACTGACTAGGTCTCTGTTGGTTAAAATTATGTTTTATATACCACATTCTATCTACCAAGGAGTCCCCTTGCTATCTTGAGGTTTAGGGATGGCCTGGACAAGCTGTTTGGGGCATAATGGCAAAAATATTTCTGGGGTCTCTGTTGTGTTATAGCATCTTTGTTAATATTATTGTGTCACGATATTTGTGAATTACATTTATGCATTTTAAAGGCTTTTAATCATTTGCTTGGCATCCTTGGGTCCAGGTGAAGGACCCCCATCACCTTCTGTACACTTAATACCAATAATAAATATAAATATGCAGGGCCTCAGATGGGCTGTGCAGGATCTATGGTGGGTTGTGCAGGGTCTGTGATGGGCTGTGCGGGGGTCTATGTTGGGCTCTGCGAGCTCTCAGGTGGGATGTTTGGGGTCTATGGTGGGCTCTGAGCCTGCGACCCTGCAGAGCCCACCAGAGACCCTTCACATTCCACCTGAGACCCCGGCTTCCCTGCTACACTAAAAGCTCAAGCTATCAGAAGCTGGACATAGTGTGGGCTTTGAGCCTGAGATCCTTCACGGCCCACCTGAGACCCCGGCTTCCCTGCTACACTAACAGTACAGCCTATCAGAAGCTGGATAGAGTGTTTGCGCTGTATCCAGCGACTGACAGGTTACGCTTAATGTCTTAATAAACTCTGGTTTCCTCTCCATACCTTGTCACACATGGCAAATTGCAGAAGTCACTCAAGAGGTGACCAGGATCAGCTGCTGCAGGAAGGGAAGATGTAAAGAGACTGGAGGCCCTGTGTACCCCTTGCAACTGTTTTCTTTGTACCTGGATGCAGGAGTCACAGAAATAGATATGCAGTCAGATAGACATTGCACGCTCAATATTTACAGCCTTACATGGAATAAATTCTATCAGTGTACAATTCAGGTTCCATGACCCCATGGAAATATAAAAGGGATCCTGTCAGAATAGAAATATGGAAGTTGCCATTGCTGATTTGCTTTGCTTTGTTCAGTGCCTTCACTTCCTAGTGAGCCATAGACCTGTAACAAACAGGCAGCCAGTGAAGTCTGAAAAGTGTCTACTTGTTCTGGGTGATTTGGCTTTACCAAGTCTCAGTCTATTCAGGCATTCTTATAGGGCTACTAATCCTGCATCTATATAATAACTAAAGGCTGAATTGATATTGGATGTATGGGATTATTCTCTACGAACCTCTCTGGCAGAACCTTCATTAAGTTGGGTCTCAAGTGGGACGCCCAGCTGAAAAACATACAGCTTGTCCACTTATTTCCCAAAGTAAGTGCACCTAAATAAAGGAAGTCTGGTCCTTTATATGCCTTTTCTTTTGCTTTATTTCAGCTAACCTGTAGAACAGAAAGAGTAGAGGTAGAATACCCAAAGTTGTAGCACACATTTATTTCACAGCTCTACAGCTAACAGTCCTTGGATGGATGCTCAAACTTGTACACTCCCACTCAAAGAAAACGAAGGCTCCGTACACACATTAGCGGTTTGTGCGGAAACACGCTAAACACAAAAACGAATACATTGCACTGGTGTGTCTGTTCACACAGCATTCGGGGAGGATTCTGCGTGTTCTGCTATAGTGTAGCCGCAAACATGCGAAATCCGCGCATATGTTAAAGTTTACGTGTTTTCGTGCCGCACAGAAAACGCAAACGCTATGTGTGAGTGGAGCCTAAGGTAGCTTTCACAAAGCAGAGATTCCTGTGCTACCTCTGTACCATGTATGTGAATGTACATATAGACCAGTGGAGGTTCTAGTGTTATTTGCTATCTTTCCCATCTCATGTAGGCAGCATTGGCAAGACCTAAAAAGATTTACAGGTCCATTCTCTTAGCCCCATGTGCTGAGGCCCCATGTCCTGGGCTTATTCCCAGCATCCCAGACTCAAAATCCTTCTATAATGTTGCTCCATATATTTAACAGTTTGCTTGACCCATTCCATTGTGCCTAACTGTTCAGGACAGCTGTTAAATATGAAAGTTAATCACTAGTCATACTTCTCATACAAATCTCTGGATAACCCAACAAGATGGATAATTAAGTGCATAAACCTTGAAAGTTATTAATAGATAACCCCACAAGAGGCTGGCAAAAAGGATAACAAAAACAAAACTGCAGAGCACAAAGAACCTGGAAAAACAGGTAACATTTTTTTAAACCTATATATACCTAGCCCCTATCAATGCTTTTGTCACTGCATCTGACCTATACACTCTCAATAGAATTTCTCTCTGCCCTGTAAGGCCTCATTCACACTGCGTTAACTTGGGCCGTACACGTCCATGCAGCGTGCACGCCCATATCGGGCCTTTCCCAGGAGGGACAGGTGCTGCATGTGATTGCACGCAACAGCCTGTTCTTCAGTATGGAAAGACACGACCATACGATGTCATGCACAAACCCAAAATGCACATCCGCGCATGTCCGGGTGTCAATGCTCGGATGCAGACAGGATCCATCCTGTCTGCATCTAAGTACGGACACCCAGACGGGCATGGATGTGGAGCTCGGGTGTGCGTATGACAGCGTACGGTCGCGTCTTCCCATAGGGAAGAACAGGCTGATGCATACAGCACCTGTCCCTCCCGGGAACGGCTCGATATGGTCGTGCACGCCACATGGACATGTACGGCCTGAGTTAATGCAGTGTGAATGAGGCCTAACAGTGTATTATTTGTTCCATGGTACAGGGCCAGGATGATTGTAATTTCTTTCAATTTTACATGGTTAATAGAGAAAGTGGTTTACAGTAGACTGCTAGTGATTTTTTTTTTCCTTAATTATGAGTGCCTACAAATTTGTTTCAGAGCTATGGAGCTTAGACAAGCATATAACTGTTTCAAGTGACTGCTCCATAAAGCAGAGCATAGTGCCTCTAATAATTAGCAGTTCATGTTACCAACTTTCTCTTTTATCTGTATAAAGTTTCCTTTGAAGTATGTTCTTACAAAGTGAGCTCTTTGTTCAGGAACCTCAACTCATCCTGAGTGTCTCTGTAGGAGGTGACTGCCGGGCAAATCTTCTGTTAAACATGAGGACTCATTGTCACTATGCTGTTATGTTTACCTGAATATGGGGATCAATGTAATTGCTTATATATATATGTACAGTTGTGCTCAAAAGTTTGCATACCCTTGGGGAATTGGTGATATATGTACAATTTTTAAAGAAAACATGAGTGAGCAGGCAAAACACATTTCTTTTATTTCTTATGGGATTCATATTCAACTGAAGCTCATAACAGAATGGCAAATTCATTAAACAACACATGGCAACAAATGAAAAAAATGAAATGGCCCCTGTTCAAAAGTTTGCATACCCATAGTTCTTAATACTGTGTATTGCCCCCTTTAGCATCAATGACCACATGCAATCTTTTGTAATACTAGTCTATGAGGCCCTGAATTCTTGCAGGTGGTATAGCTACCCATTCGTCGTGGCAAAAAGCCTCTAGGTCATGCGAAGTTTTGGTCATCTTACATGAACTGCACATTTGAGATCTCCCCAGAATGGTTCAAGGATATTAAGGTCAGGGGACTGTGATGGCCACTCCAGCACCTTCAACTTTTTCTGCTGCAACCACTAGGGTCAACTTGGCCTTGTGCTTAGGGTCATTGTCATACTAGAAAGTCCAAGAGCGTCCCATGTGCAACTTTTGTGCAGAAGAATGCAAATTGTCTGCCTTTATTTTCTTATAACATGCTGCATCTTGCCATCAATTTTCACAAGATTCCACGTGCCTTTAGAGCTCACACCCCCTAAAACAATAGTGGGCACCACTGCTGTCCCCGTGCGGCGCCTGGGAGCGGCTCGCGGGTCTCCGCGCACTGATCTGAGACAGATTCAGCGGCTTCCAGCCGCTGATCTCTCCTCCAATCACTGGACCCGGAAGTGATGTGTATTACATCACTTCCGGTGTCACTCTTACAGTCTTTGGCTCTTAGAGCGAGGAGATGAAGCTGGGGAAGCAGATCTCTGCTTCCTCAGCTTCTTTGGGGTCCCTAGGTGACATTAGGGGTCTGAAAGAGGACATAAAGAGGACCTGTCACCTCCTATCTGCTATTACATACATATGCATTGGTGCGCCTACGTGCAAAAACGACAATTGCGCTACACATGTTACATATCTCCGCAAACATCAATCACTGTTAGCACTACACCAATGAGCGGTAAAAGCCTTAAAAATGTTCCCTATGGGAAATTTGGGGTATTGACTTTTTTTGCGGCTTCACGGGCGAACGCAATTTTAAGGCTTCACATGTTTGGTATCTATTTACACGACGTGACCCCGTCTTTTATATTTTACCAAAAAATTGGGTATTATATTATGTTTCTGTGCACTAAATTTTAATTTATTTTATTTTTTCCTAAAAATACTGGTTTGATAAACATTTGCGCAAAAACCATGCGACATAAACAATTGTAACTAGCATTTTTGTATACTACAGGGCCTCTGCTTTCAGAACATATACAATTGTTTGAGGGTCTGAAGCTGTTTTCTAGCCAAAAATTAATATTTTATCATGTGTGCGCAAATAGTAAGAAAATGCCCCGGACAGCAAGTGGTTAATAATAGCTTTAGCATACTAAACAGAAATCAGTTCTAAGTTAGGGATCGCACTTTGCAAAGGTGGCAAGAAGCAGCAGCGTGCCTTTACTTGTATTTACTAAATGATGCAATAAAGCCCCATGTTTTACCATGCATTACTGCACCACTTGTTAACATGCTGTATATGTGTGTTGCAGGGTATTGCCATTGCTTCTGAGGCCCACCCGGATGTGTAAACAAATGATCCAGTGCTACAGCACAAAACAACACATATATGTGAATGATCTGTACATTGTGTTGTGCTGTATTGTAATAACATGTTTTCACCTGGTAATCCTGCGAATAGCACACTTCCAGTGCCATTATACACTTATTTCTCCACTGTATCTATGGGGGCAGCCATAGTTGTCAGGCTAGGTTTCAAACATGTCTGCCTTTGTTCATTTCCATTAAATGGTGGATTGATGGGACTAGCAGTTTACACAAGACTGATAAGAATGATTGTGCTTTCATTTAAGCTCACAAAAATGTCACTGTATTTTTGGCAAAATCAACAGGTATTTCAGTACTTGCTTAAAATGTTCTTAGCCTGAGGAGTGAAAATGAATGCAGCCACAACATTTAAGGACTGGTGATCTGCAATATAGTAAATTTTTTGGGGGGGGTTTATACACTTTAAAGGAGAACTACGAGGCAAGTGAAAATCCCTCAGCCTCATAGTTCTAGCCGACCTGTGACAATGAAACTGTCACAGGTCGGCTTAATAGATCGGGAAGTGA